ACCAGCCCCCTGCATCTGCATCACAAGAGCATGAGGTGCAGCGCTGGGAAAACCTTCAAACATTTATCGAACATGCCGTCGTGATGTTGACCGGCTGTCTCGGCCCAACTGGGGCTGCCCAAACGGCGCGACGTTCGTCAATGACGAAGCAGCGGCACTGCTGCCAGCAGGAGCGCCTAACGCGACTGAAACCCCGCTCGGAAGAACGCAATGGGGCAGCTGCATCAAGACGACAGAGGCGAAAAGGAGACATACACCAGAAAGGACTAGACGGGAACAGTACTACATCGGATGTGGAGCTGACATGAAGAGCGTGGCGGACAACGTGTGGGGCGACCTGGGCAACCGGTACAATGGCACGCTGCCAGGCGTACCACCCGTCCCTGACTTCGCGACGGGCGACGCCGACGACAGCATGGAACAAGGCGGCATGGCGGCTCCGACGAGTGGTGGCGATTTCGACGACGAAGGCTCGAACGCCAACGAGAATGACGACTGGGCGTGGACGGAACGCAGCGGCAGGAGTCTCGAGGTGAAAATCGACGACGCTGGGCATCATGCGGGCGCAATGATGACCAAGAAACAGGACAGCAGCATCGAAGAGTACAGCGACGCCAAGACGACGGACAACATTACCATCGGAAAGCGCAGAGACGCGAATGATGCGCAGACCAAAAAAAACTGCGTGGAGGATCTTGCCCACGGGACGAAGCTCGGGACGGCGGAAAGCAACCTGCAGAGCCTGTCGACAAGAGAGTTCGTGGATCTCGCCAGTGGCATGGCGGGCAAGCTCGGGCTCGTTTTTCAGGACGTCGGAAGCAGGAGGAGGAGGAGGAGGAGGCAGGAGGAGGAGGCAGGAGGAGGAGGAGGCAGGAGGGGGGGAGGAGGAAGGAGAGGAGGAGGAGGAGGAGAGGAGGAGGAAGAGGAGGAGGAGGAGAGGAGGGGGAGGAGGACTCCTGGGAGTCCTCGGACGTCGCCGAGACCTGAGTGCCTCCAGGGGCTGCCACTCCGGTGCTCCCTCCTGCGCCCTGCTGGGTCTACTCAGTGCCCCTGCCGGGCCTGCTTGTGTTTCGGGCGGTGTTCGTGCCGCCCGAAACACAAGCCTGGCCACGTCCCCAGGCGGGCCTGCGTGCAGCGCGGCGGGACGAACGCCGCGCATCATCGCATCCCGCTGGTCCCTCCTCGTCCTCCTCCCCCTCTCCAAAGCCTCCTCTTCCCCCCTCCTTACCTATCCGTCCTCCTCCTCCTCCACCTCCTCCTCCTCCTCCTCCACCACCTCCTCCTACTTCTCTCCTCCTTCTCCTCCTCCTCCTCCTACTTCTCCCTCTCCTCCTTCTCCTCCCCTCCTCCTCCTCCTGCTCCTCCTCCTCCTCTTGCTCCTCCCCCTGTTCCTCCTCCTCCTCCCCTCCTCCTCCGCCTCCGCCTCCTCCTCCTCCTCCTCCTCCGCCTCCGCCTCCTCCTCCTCCTCCTCCTCCTCCTCCTCCTCCGCCTCCGCCTCCTCCTCCTCCTCCTCCTCCTCCTCCTCCTCCTCCTCCTGCCTCCTCCTCCTCCCTCCTCCTCCTCCTCCTCCTCCTCCTCCTCCTCCTCCTCCTCCTCCTCCTCCTCCTCCTCTGGCGTGAATTCACCTGCACTGGTGTTGGAGCTCTCTCAAAGCCTGCCTTGGCCACGCAGGCCCGCAGTGCTCTTCGAAGCATCTTCGGACGTCTGGGAAGCGACTTTGGGCCGCGCGGGCGCCGCCTGGGGCGAGTTGAGCGCCGCTGTGTTGCAAGTGGCGGCGGTCTTGGAGCCTGTCGGGGGCGCTGTGGGCTATCTTGGTCCGACCTAAATTGGGGGACGAAAAAACGGCCCTACCCTGGGCTACAAATGCGTGGTCTGTAAACCTCCTGGGAACCCCCAAAGCCTGGAGCCGCCAGGACGCGGCACATCACGCAGGTTTTACCCTGTCAGCCCACAGGAATTTCAGCGCACAGCGCCTCGTAAACCAGGGCGTTTTTTTTATGCCCTTGACTCAAGTCGTTTGGGACGCCTCAGGGCCGCTACGAGGGACGTCTTTGGGCCCCTAGGGGCTCCGTTGGCACCCTCTGGGGGGCGTCTGAGGCGGTCCTGGGGCCTTTTGGGCCGTCCGAGGACGTGGAGTGAGCCTCGCCGTCAGTGAGTTGGACGACAGAGCTCGGCACCAAGCTTGCCCACAGTCCGAATCATGGAAACGGCAAGGGAAACGGTCGGACGACACCAGGCAACCTCCGAAAACTCTCGGGAAACCAGCGTTGACCTCTCATGAAGTCTCCCATTGCACCTCCGCCAGGTTCCGCCGAGCTTCCACCAGCGACACCGTCCTCGTTTTACTTGCGCTGGCTATCGCCGAGGGCGAGAGGCTCACCCATCGAGTCCTCATATTGGATCCTTACACACCTCAATGGTGCACGGCGGATCGGGCCCAAACTGGCATCCAAGAGTCAGAACGGCCAGGAATCGAAGCTCCTAAGTTGGCCAGGCCTCTCAGGTGCCGCGGGCAGATGCCCATGGGATGCCTGGCCAAGCTTGGTGCTGGCATATCACTGACCCCTCCCGCGAACTTGACGCGACGCTCCATGACTGCCGAACCGCTGGCCTTGAAGGCGAAGTGATCTCCTTTGTTGGTCAAAGACAAGGCGACGCGCAGCAGCAGCAGTAGCCTTCCGATGGGGCAAGGTCGGGCCTCCCCTCCGACGAAGTGCCCCACGGCATCTTAAGGCAAGGGAAATCCACCCACCCCGCTGGGAGACTAGCGTATCAAATCGCTTCCTCCCCAATCCCCTCGGCAGAGGACGGGCAACTCGCCTCATGAAATGCCCAGCTACCCTCGCCCATTCGACAGGTGGCCCCGATTGACACATCTGCCACTGGCAACAGGGAGGGTTCCACTCTCCCCGAGTGCTCATCTGACAAGTGACACAAATTGTCGAATTTGTCATGGGTGACAGCATTGACAGGACATCTCTGAGCACAGAAAGGGACATCTCGGGCGAAATTGGTTAAACCACCTCAGGTCTGGGCATCCCCGAAAACACAATCCCGACGATCTCCAAGGCGAAAAGGACGGGGACCACGTGAGGTGAGGACCTCAGTACATGGACCCAGAGTTGCAAGGAGATCTCAAGCGAAACGAACAGTTCACGGCAGCTGCGAACCCAGAACAGCGAGGAACGGGATCGGATACAGTGAGGCAAGAGCATCGATTAACCCAGAATAACGAGGATGCGTCGGGCGAAGATAGCTGGAATACCTCAGGCCAATTCAAATCCGAGCCCAGAGTTGTGACGAAGTGTGAAGCGAACCTGGCTGGACCAGCTCAGGTCAGGGCATCCATGGGCCCTGAGTTGCGAGAGTGAGGAGAAGCTGGATGAACCTCTCGTGTGCCTCGAAGCCCACAACTGCGAGGACGTCTCAAGGCCAAAGGGCTGTACCGCCTCGGGGCAGCGGCAAGGATGTCGAAGCGAAATAGGCTGGACTATCTCTCGCGCGGCATCTCAGGCGGCCAGGCGAGACCTCAGGCGAGACCGACCGGACCGCCTCACAGACTCACAGGCGGCACCTCAGGGCCTAAAATAACGATGATGGCTTCGCCGACACCGACCCGGACAACTTCTCGCACGGGGTCTCCTAGCTCAAAATCCCCCCCCGCCTTCTGGGCAGGAGATTGTCCATCGCGGCTCCTTGTCAAACCCAATTTTTCCCCGTCGGGGATGGGGTCATCGCTGCTCCTGGAAAATATTTGGCACCTCGCCCAATCTACCGACCGCTAACCCGAGTCACTGCCACCCCCCACGATTCCAACCAAAAACTAATTGAAATACCCCCAGACGGCTTCCCCATTGGAGCTCGGAGATGCGATGCGATCCGTCAGAACCATGATCATCGAACGAGCATGGTTCTGTAGATCTGCCACCGTGCCTCTGAGAACGGAGTGGGCGTGCCCTCGGGTTCTTACCGTCATCCTCGCAACCTCAGTCCTCACCCCTGAAGAGTCGCTCAGAAACCCACGCCCCGCATCGCGAAATCTTCTTCTGGGGCTTCTCGCGGTTTCTCGCGTGACTGTTTCGGAGCGATGGGAGCCCCCAAACAGGCCAAACAGGGCCCAAAGAGGCCCACGACGGCCCCAAACGCCCCGAGACGCCCAAAGATCGCCCCAAGACGCCCTACGTAGCCTCAAGACGGCCCAGGAGGCATCCAAGATGCCCCAAGAGGCCTCGAAGATGCCTCCCAAAAGAACCATGAGAGGCACAAATCATTGATTTGCGTTCGTTGTTTCAAAGCTTTTGGCGTTCTCGCCTTGTTTCCTTTCCGACGCTCCCAGACGGCCCGAGGTCCCCAATACCACCCCAGGACTGCCCAAGAGGCCTCCCATAGGCCCCAAGGCGGCCCTCGAGCGGCCCAAGACGGCCCAGGAGGCGCCCGAGACGGCCCAAGAGGGCCCCATAACGGCTCACAAAGTGGCCCAAGAGAAGGAGCACGAACCGAAAATCCGAGTGTTCCGCCCCAAGAGCCCCCCAGGAGGCTCCAAGAGGCACCAAAGAGGCCCCAAGAGGCTCCAAGAGGCCCCCAAGGGGCCCAACAGCGACCCCACGAGGCTCCAAACTGCCCCCAAGAGGCATCAAAGCTGCATCCAAGAGGCCCCCTAAGGGTCCCCCACGAAATCCCAACGAACATCGAAAAAGCTTCATACCGAAGACCAACAGAGGTGCAACAGAGAATCAGGAGTCCAGGGTGCTAGGCTCAGGCCTACATGTCTCACCTGAACCCTTCCTGCCGTGCTCGGAAAGGCACCCCGACAGCAAACGACGCAAACATACGTCGCTCAATAGGGGTCAGCGGCAGGGGCGGCAGCCTTTAGATACGCAGAAAGAGAAGATGAGGAGGAAGGAGGAGAAAGAGACGGAGGAGGACACAAGCGCGAGGAATGAAGCGGACGACGACGACGACGACGGCGACGGCGACGACGACGACGACGGAGTACAGTAAGGAGCACGAGGAAAAGGACGTCGAAGAGGGGGGGCCCTCGTCATGTTCTGAGGTTAGCACCCGCCATGGTCCTGCACTGGCCAGAAAAGGCGCGCCTTAGAAGATTCCCCGCTCGGGGGCCAAGTACTGTAAGCACAGGTTCAAAGGAGCTTAAATCAAAGCCCACGGGCGGCTTATCAGAGTGGGCACCCCATGTCACCCCAACACCCTGTCACCCCAACGCCCGAGCCCTGACACCCTAACGCCGGAACGCCGTGATCATCATCATCATCCTCATCATCCTCCTCCTCCTCCTCATCATCATCATCAGCATCATCATCATCATCCTCATCCTCCTCCTCCTCATCATCATCATCAGCATCATCATCAGCATCATCATCATCATTATCATCACCATCATCGCCCACGCATGCGCGCCAGAGGCATTCGCACACCGCAATCAGGAATATACACAACTCTGCGGTTGGTCTGCATCTCGATTCTAGAGGGTTTGAAATTTATTGTTTGGCGAAACGTAATACCATACGATGCGTAGTAATGCAAATAACAATACGAGACAAAGAGTGACACACTGCATGCTAGGAAAACAATTCATTAGAATTGGAAATTCAGAAGCAGCAGCAAGTGGACACACAACTACGCTTCACTCAGAGAGAGCGATCTCCACCACCGCACCAACAGCACAAGTCAGAGACAGTGAAGTCGGTGTCGTCGTAGTAGTCCGTGCACTCCCAATGAAAAAAGGCCCAGTGCTGGCAAGAGTACCCCGAGGCGTCCGTGGCCAACTGAGAGCCGCGGTTCTCGCAGTCGTCGTTTTCCTCGTAGTGGTAGTAGTAGTTGTTGAAGTAGTCGTCCATGCCGTAGTCCTTGCCGTCCGCGCTGTCGCTGCCGATGGCATCGTAGCTGGAATCTCCAGAGATACTCGGGTGCGTCATCAGGCATGCGGCAGGGCAGAAGCCCAGGTCCTCCATCCTGTTACTGACCATGAGGATGTCGTCAACACGGGTGAACTCGACGCCGTCGGGCGACAGAGACGACCTGTACATCTCGCCAAGAGAGCACCCGCACGAGACCGGGCACATGAACTGGATCGAGGAGAACTCGCCCGCGCTGCAGAGGTCGGCGTTCAACAACAGCCTGACCTCGTAAGATGCGAGGTAGTCGCACCCGGTCAGGTTCCGCGGGTGCGGTACGTCACGCATCAGCTCCCAGTGGCCATCCAGGAACGATTCAACCAAACTCCCATTCGAGATCCACCTGGCAAGCTCGCGCCTCTTGCTGTCTTTGAGGTCCGGGAACACCAGTTGCACGGAGGCCTCGACGATGTCTGGAAACGCCACGTCGGCCGTGAGGTGCTCGAACAAGCCCGCTGCAAACGAGAGCCACCAGAACGCGTCTGGGGGCAAACCGCCACATTCGGCGGCGACGGTCCCGTTGACAAGGCACTCCTTTGAACTCTTCATGCTGCCATCGCCACCAAAGATGATTGCATCTGGCTCAGCATCTGCGCACCTGCCAGCAGTGCTGCTCGTGCCAGTCGAGTTAGGTGCTGTCCCTTTGACGAAGCGCAACTCGTTGGATGTCACCAGCTGTGCCCGGCACGACTGCGGGCACCCGCCTCGCGGACTCTGGAAGTAGCCGGCGAGAGCCTTCTGGCCTTCGATCTCGTACGTCGGGGGCACGTGGCAGTTGCAACGTACGGGGCACAGCGCCCTGAGCTGCGTCATCTCGCGCCGGGCACAATACTCCCAAGGAATCTCAGCGCAAGTTATGATGCTGGCGTTGCCCATCAGCTGCCGCAGGGCTGCGCGGTAGCTGGGCCTCTCCGACTTCGAGCCGAGATCGTGGCACACGAGTATGTTTGCCGCCAGCTGCAGCGGGCTGTTGCCGAGCTCCTCGAGGGCGTCGTAGCTGCTGGCGTCGAATGCTGTGTCTTGGACAAGCGCCGCCGAGTGGCCGAGAACGATAGCGGGGGGGTCCTCCTTGCCGCCGTTGCGGAGCCCCTGCTGCTTGGCCAAGATGCTGGGATTCCAATCGAAATTGGGCTCGATATCAAGCATCGACACCTCCAACACGGTGACTTCGTCCGCCGTCCAGGCGTCGGCATCATGAGATCTGGCCACGTAGATGATGCCGTTTGCTGAGTTCCGAGCGTACACAAAATCGAGCTTACTGTCCTCTGAGCACAAGATGTGATCGACTTGTTCCAGCTGCCAGAAGAATCGCTTGAGCACCAATTCGTTGGTGGCAACGAGTGACCCGCACACGAAAATCAGCTTCAAGACCGGCGCCAGCACTGGCATGACATCCTTGATGCGATCCGTTTGGACAGCACTGGCCAGCAGTCGTGTGTGGCACGGCAAAGGCTCCATATTGTTCAGCAACGTCTTGAGCCGCCTGGGTGCCAAGCAGTCGTAGACTAGCTCGTCTAGTTCGATAATGAAGACTATCGCCAGGCAGTTGAGGATAAGGTCATCGATATTGCTGGTCTTGCCGATGAAGAGGATGCCTGTGAAACCAAGCAATACGCATATGATCGCGCGGGGCACGGTGATGAGAGCCCAAGTAAAGCGAATACGCATCCGATGGATCTTTTCAAATCGAGCCGTAATGGATGACAAGTAAGAATCCTTTTGTACAGTCAGATTAACCTGAGTGGTATCCGACCGATCTAACGACATGACGGCTTGGGAAAAATGAACGATGGCGTCCATCTCCTTGACGATGACTCCGAGAAAGAGGATCTCTGCGATTATCATCAGCGTGGGCCCGCCCCTTAAGAACTTCTGCACGTCCGACAAGATGCCTATCTGCCCAGCGGCGAAGTGCACCTTCTGATTGGTGCTGCACACCTGCCTCGCCAAAGACTGCTTCGTCATGGGGTCCGCGAACTCTGAGTTGTGCGCGAGGCTCAGCCGAAACTTGAGCAAATTACTGAGCGCGGACGAGTCCACGTCCGGTTTGAGCATGTACGTATAGACCACGAAGCAGAATGCGAGCTGGGATACGAGATTGACGACGTAGCCGAAGAGCAGCGTAGCGGACACGTTCCATCCGAGCTCGGGGAACCCGAAAAACACCATGCTGTCCCAAATTGACGTGTTGAGCTCGTACGCATCTGCCATATCCAAATCGTCCGTCCAATCGGCCTTCTCGGGCTTCATCTCCTGGAGCTTCACCTGTCGGGCCGGGCGAAAGGGGGGGATAGCAAAGGGGGGGCTTGAGAATCAGCTTACGTAGCTGATTTCCCCGGCGCCTCCTGGCGCCGGAGGCTGCCATGCATCGAGGAATGGGCCCCATCGGTGGGGCTGAAACCAGCTGCAAGCGGCAGATTTCGTTACCCCCCCCTTTCCCTATCCCCCCTTTCGTTCGGCCCGAACCTGGGACTCCACGTCCAGCTCCTCCCCCTCGCCCGCGCTTGGCTTCCGCGTGGCCGCGCCGGCCGGCCCACCTGCCTCCCCCGAGAGGCGTTCCGCCGCCACGGCGCACGGCGCCCCCCCTTCCGCGGTGCTGCCCTGGCGCGGCCGCGCGCTCCCCGCGGCCCCGGCTCCGCCCGCGCGCTCGCGGGGCTGCGCGGCGGGGGGGCGCCCCGAACCCGAGCGGCCAGGCGCCATCGCGTCGCTCTGCGGCCGGCTGGCGCCGATGCCCTCCCCCGGCTGCTCGAGCGCGCTGTCCTCGAGGCTCGGGGCGCTGAGCACCTGGAGCTCCGCCTGGGGCGGGCCTGCGCGTGGCCCCCGAGCGGCAGCGCCGCCTCCCGAGTGGTCGCGCTGGCGCCCGGCCTGGCGCTCCGCCTCCTCGGCAGCGCCCGGCTCCGCGCTGGCTGGCCCGCCTGCCTCCCTCCGGCGGCGCCTGCGGGGCTTCTCGTTCTCGCCCCCGGGCGGCTGCGGGTCTCTCGGCTCCGGGGCTGTCATCGCCCTGCCTTCGAAGCTCTCCGGTGCCCCGGGTGCATCGCCTTCGGGGCTGCGACGCTCTCGGCGCCTGCGTCCGGCGGTGCTGCCCGCGGGGGGCTCGGCAGCGTCCAGCTTCTTGGTGGCCCCTGGCTCCTGGCAGAGCGCCGACGACACCGATGCGAGCGCCGATGTCATTGACTGGCGCACGCGTCGAGGCGTATTACCGATGGCACTGACGACGCTGGGTGCCGATGACATTGGGCGAGCACGGCGGGCGTCTCGCGCCACAAGCTTCGGGGCCCTTGGGCCCACACGGCTTGAGACAATATGGCTGCTGAAAAAAAAGGAAAGGAGGGGGAGGAGGAGGAGGAGGAGGAGGAGGAGGAGGAGGAGGAGGAGGAGGAGGAGAGAAGCCACGGAGAACGGACAGTGGCGTTGTGTGTGTGTACGCGTGTCCACTTATCCCCAAATCCCACCAACCCTCAGGGCGAGGGTGGTTTAACGAGTTTTGTCTTCCTCTTTCCACTACCCCTCCTTCCCCTGCTCAGGGTAGGAGTATATCACTGCTCCGTATTAGTATACACCCCCTCCCCCTCCTGGCCGGCGGCCAGCCCAGAACCATGCCGACTCCATGCGGGCCCGCCCCCCACCATCCCTGACAAAAAACGAAACAACCGCACTCTGTCTCCACATTTGAAGCACGCGCGGCCAAGCCGATGCGCCCCCCCTCCCTCCCCCCCCACTATCCCTGTCACAAAACAATGCAAAGTACACTTTGGGGCAAAGTCTTGGGTCATGTTCGCGAGACCCGCGAACACTTCGCATTGCTTCTTAAAAAGGACGGCGGGTGTGTCAGCATATCCCCTGCTGTGCGCAGGGCTACCATCCCTGACAACAAATAATACAACATGCACCTCGGTGCTAAATCTGGACCGTGCGCGGCCATCCCGCGACCATTGTCAAGTAGTTTTTGACAGTGACTAGGGTGGTGGTGGCGCGTGGCCTGCTGAGCGAATGCCCACCCGACACAATGATGGGCAGTGGTGTTCGACAAGGATGGCAGGGGCCGACATGTTTCCCGATGTGCTGTCACGTGCGCGGTCGCACCTGACGCACTCTGCACGTGCCCTGAACGTGGCGAGCCTGGAGCGGCTGGAATGTGCGGCACACCTGGCGCACTCGGAGCACGTGGCGCATCTGGCGCACAAGGCGTGCCTGGCACGCTCGGGCCCCAGGGGTGCCTGGCGCGCGGCGCCCCTGGCACGCGTGGCGCGCCTCGCCCAAGCGTCGCGCACCTGGGGTCGGCTTTGGTTCCCAGTAGCTGCCCATCCAAAAACGACAGTTGAACATGTTCAGGCTCGGGTGTTACTGATGCGTTGGGAGGATGGGTGGGAAAGAGCAAGACGGCTTGCGGGCGGGTGGGTGTTGTCCTGATCACTGTTCCGAATTAGTATACACTCCCTCCCCCAGGCGACTGGGGGCCAAACAGGAACCATGCTGACACCATGACCACCCGCCCCCCGTCATCCCTGTCAAAAAACAATACAAGCCGCACTCTGTTTCTCTGCGTCCACATTTGGAGCATGCACGGCCAACCCGATGCGGCCCCCCCACCATCCCTGTCAATACAGCTTGCACCTCGTGGCTACATCTGGATCATGCGCGGCCATCCCGCGATCACTGCCAAGTAGTTTTTGACAGGGACTGCGGGTGTGGTGGCGCGTGGCCGCCCGGCCTGCTGTGCGCATGCCCACCCGACACAATGATGAGCAGTGGTGTTCGACAAGGATGGCGGGGGCCGACATGCTTCCCGATGCGTGCTGTCACGTGCGCAGGCGCGCCTGACGCACTCTGCACGTGCCACGTGGCGAACCTGGCGCGGCTGGAATGTGCGGCACACCTGGCGCACTCGGAGCACGTGGCGCATCTGGCGCACAAGGCGTGCCTGGCACGCTCGGGCCCCAGGGGTGCCTGGCGCGCCCGGCGCCTCTGGCACGCGTGGCGCACCTCGCCCAACGTCGCGCACCCGGGGTCGGCCTTGTTCCCAGTAGCTGTCAATCCAAAGACGACCGCTGAACCTGCTCAGGCTCGGGTGTTACTTGTGTGTAGGGGTGGCGGGTGGGAGTGTGCTAGACGGTTTGCGGGCGGGTGGGTGTCTTCATCACTGTTCCCTATTAATATACACCCCCCCCAAGCGACAGGGAGCCAACCCGAACCAATGAGGCCGCCCCCCCACCATCCCTAGAAAAAAAACAATGCAAAACACACTCTGCCTCCAAATTCGGAACATGCGCAGCGAACCCGATGCGGCCTCCCCCCACCATCCTTGTCAAAAAACAATACAGAATACATTTGGCGGCGGCGTGGGCTGCGGCGGCTGCGGCGGGGGCAGCGGCTGCGGCGGCTGCGGCGGTGGCGGCGGCTGCGGCGGACTGGCCCCCAGTAGCTGCCCATCCGAATACGACTGCTGCATATGCTGCGGCTCGGGTGCGACGAGTGAGCGAGACGGCTTGCGGGCGGGAAGGGCGTCTTGACCCCTCCCCCTACCTCCTCCCCTGGGCCTGGGAGGGGGGTTCGCGAGGCATTAGAGCGCCCAAGATGGCCCAATATGATTCCAAGAGGGCACGGCTCCAAAACTTTGGAAAATCATTAGTGTTTGCGTTCTCGCCTTTTCGATTCGGACGAGCCTCCTGAAATGTATATGTTCTAGGAATCCTTGGGAATTCCTGGGAATCCTTAGGAATTCCTGGGAATCCCTCCGGAATTCGTAGGAATCCTTGGGGATTCCTAGGAATCTTTAGGAATTCCTAGGAATCCTTAGGAATTCCTGGAAATCCTTCGGAATTCCTAGGAATCCTTAGGAATTCCTAAGAATGCTTAGGAATTCCTAGGAATGCTTCGGAATTCCTGGGAATCCCTAGGAGTCCTTAGGAATTCCTAGGAACCCTTAGGAACTCCTACGAATCCTTAGGAATTCCGCAAGCGAGGAGCAAGGCATGGCGTCCGGGGGTCTGGGCCTGCGCCTCCGCAGGCCAGCACAGCAGGCCCTCCCGGGCCTCCAGCGGAGGCCCTTCGACGGCTCGGCCCGCTCCCCGGGGCCCGCTTCTCACTCCGAGCCGCATTTTTCCCCGGGAGGGCACGTCCAAAACCTGTTCTGGTTGCTCGCCTCCCCAGCGGCAGCTGCATTCGGAAGGACCAGATGGTGTCTCAAGCCCCGCCCTCTGAATCATACGTGTTTGACAGCGCTCTCGGGAGGAAACTCAGATGCGAATAGATGTGTGTTCAGAAAGCGTATCCTCCTCCTCCTCCTCCTCCTCCTCCTCCTCCTCCTCCTCCTCCTGGATCAGCGAGGCCGAAAACAGCAAAAACCCGTCCGTCGCTACTTTTTCAAGGCCCTGGGTCTCCGATGTCTTGTGTTTTTTTTTCCAGCGCCTGTCACCTGAGCTCTGGGCCACTTCCCAAGGACAAGCTGTCTTTTTGCCCTGGATCGTTTCGTGGCGGCCCCGGAACCCAGCGAGGGCCCCAACACGTCTAAAGCTGTACAAGAAAAACTCCATCTTGTTTTTGTTCCATGTGTCGGACCCTGATATCCGACGGCGTGGAAATATCTGAACATCATCAAAAATCACGGCCGGAGCCCTAGAGTCCTGCCTGCAACATTTTCGAGACAGTTTGATCTGTGAGGGTCCCAGGGCCTGAGTCGGGGACGCACTGACCCGAGTCAACCCAAACCTGGGTCAGCCGGGCTTTGCAGGATCCTGCAGGATTCTGCAGGATCCTGCGCCCAAGCCCTGGTCAATGCAGCCTTGGCGCTGCAGGATCCTGCGAGATCTGGCGCTCTGACTGACCCCCGTTTGCATGGAGCCCCGTCTCTTGAGCGCTGACCGAAGCTGGACGAGCACGCCTGGCTCGAAAACGTTGAGACGCCACGATCTCACGGGAGGGCTGCCTGACTCCGGATCCGCCATGCTCTGGTCGATTTTCCGACCAAGCGTTGTGTCGGAAACGAGCCCCAAAAGATGCGAACCAATCATCGGCGGCGAGCGAAGGGCGGGAAATGCGAAGGAGAAGGCCTTCTCAGAAGGCGGCGGGACTTCTGAGAAGCCCTCGCGCCTTCTGAAAAGTTTTCTGCGTCTTCGGGAAAGGCTTAGAAAACTTGTCAGAAGGCCGCGGGACTTCCGAGCCTTCTGAGAAGGCCATCTCCTTCTCACTTCCCCCCAAGCTCGCCGTCGAAGTAAAGCGGGAATCTCCGCCTCAGAACATCAGGGCGGGTATTTCCGCAAAAGCATGGCGGGAACAGCGAACGGCGAGGCAGGGAAATCGACATCAGAGCAGCTTGACAAGTAGTCCGCGGCGCGCCTGGGGGAGAGGGAAGTGAGAAGGGGCGGGCCTTCTCAGAAGGCTCGGAAGTCCCGCGGCCTTCTGACAAGTTGTCTAAGCCTTCTGACAAGTTGTCTAAGCCTTCCCTGAAGACACAGAAAACTTCTCAAAGGCGCGAGGGCTTTGAGGAGTCCCACCGCCTTCTGCGAAGGCCTTCTCACATCCTCGCTTCTCCCCGCGCTCGCCGCCGAAGCAGGGCCGGCATGCCCGCCCTGCTTGCGGGATGGCCCCACGAATGCGGTGGATCCCGAGCCAGGGAAACCAACAGATATTCCGATGCCCCTGTTCCCCGGGCCTCTCGCGGGGCGCGGTATCGGCACGGTCGGACCTGGGAGGAGGAGGAGGAGGAGGAGGAGGAGGAGGAGGAGGAGGAGGAGGAGGAGGAGGAGGAGGAGGAGGAGGAGGAAGAACATCCTTCAAGAACATGAGACCCTCCGCCGGCCCAAATTGAAGGACATTCGAGGGTGCCCTCCCCCAGGGGGAACATCCAACAAGCACGAAGAGCACCAGGGCACCCTCCCCGAGCCGACCTCGATCCTACCCAGAGATGCGACGTCGTGATGTGTTCAATGCGGGCTGACCGGACGTCTCGACACCTTCTCCAGGACCGGCTTTTCATCCGGAGTAGTTTTTTGACGGCCCCGAGGCCCGGCGAGGGCCCCCAGGGGCCGAAGTTTGCGACAAAACTCCGTCTTGATTTTTCCCATGCGTTGGATCTCTGGGCACACCTCGGCCCCATCTGCACCCCTTCCTCCTCTGACCTCTGAGCCGAGCTCCTTTCGTGGGTTTTGGTGCAGGACCTCGGGGGGGCCGCGAGTTGAGCAGGGACCGACCGTCCCGGCATTCCTATAGTCCTACCACGAGATGTTCTTAGAACCCAACCCAGAGGGTCGTGGGCCTCATGACATAGGCACGGTACCCATGAGTTGTCATGTACCCATGATTCATGTAAT